GGTGGCGTGGGCGGCGTGGAGGCAGGGCTCACGCCACTGCGCCCCCGCGCACCCGGACAGCGCGCGCTCCGGTGTGGGCTCCGGGGTGGACGCTGCTGAAACAAACGAGAGGAAGCTGCCGTCAAGCATTTCACACCTTACACAGGTTATTCATAACGTGGAACTCATTAATTACAGGATTTTTGCGTAACGTGGAGCTCATTATGCGCCCTCTTTTAACCCAATTCTCAGCTCCTCGTACTCGAACTTCATCGTTACAGAAGAGACATAGAGGAAAACGCTAACACACCAAACTAACGAGTGTAATTACGTGACAGGTGCCGCACACGTCATCACGATATTAAGATAAATGGAGTTTGTTCCCAACTTTGGCGGTAGAAAGTGCGGCGAACTTTGTATTCTCATGATGCATCATCACTTTTGGCACAAATCTGGAAAATAATTATAATATTTAATAAGTAATAATTATGAGGTGTTCTGTGTAGAGTAGTTAGTTTGGTATAATTTATTATAATATATATATGTATATATAAATAATATATATATATATATATATATATTATATAGATATATTTATAGCAGATCAGTGGTTGTAGTATAACTCTAGTCTCGAACAGTGCGAATTAGGAGGAGTAGTGTTAAGAGCATACGCTGCGACTACAATTACAAACTACTTCCATTTAGAATGATTTTTTTAACATTTCTCACACCATTGGTCACTGATTGTCTCATAAAACTACGCTATAGAAAATATCTCGTTAGGATGTTGCAATGTCACGTAATCTCTTATTGTTTGAAGGGTTGAGGGCATTTTAAATCACATTTTTGATTTGATTTATAATATGATTTCGTAATTCAAGTATTCCAAACTATGAGGGCAGAGTATGTTGTTCCCAATACTCCCTCCAGGCAAAGAGTTTGAAATATTTCGACGAGTGCGATTCGCGGATTTCAGGCCAGGAGAAGAGGCTGGCAATTAGTTGATTCGAAATTCATGCATCAGTTTTTAGTCCAAACGCCAGTCATTTAAAAGTTTAAAAAACGTCCGCTAAATGCATCGCAAATGGAAAAAAACGGATGGAGAACTGAACTATTATAATAAACACTTCTAACATTGAAAATAGTAGGAAAGCATTTCATTTGAAAAGAAATGGGTTCTTTTGAAATTAATACGAACAAGAAGAATGGCAGTGAAAACGGAATATTTTCAGTATGTCAAACATCTGAATTCCATTACCGTTTTCACGCAATGTAGTTACGTGTTGTGGGTTGCGTTTAGTCAGGCGAAAATTTAAAGTGATTTTAAATTCGGGAAAATGGGTATTCCAGTTTGTTCGATATTATTGACAAATTCGATTCGAAATAGTGAAGGTATTAAAAATGTGATGTAAAAGGGAGGCACGTAGTTATTCCTGGGAGCCGAATATTAATGAATGGAACGAATCTTTCGGATGTTATTTATATTTCATGGTTTCGCGCTGGAATCCAAGAAAAATAGAGCCGAATGATGTGCTCTATCAGAATTGCTGCTTCTACTGAGATTGCGGCATGAATCTCTCTTTTATACTAGCTATCACCTGGATCAACCGTATATTCTGCTGAAGCTGTCCCACTATCTTCCGTAACGTAGGAATTGTAAAAGTTATGACAAATTAACTGACACAAGTAATGATTGATTTGTAGTATTCGGTACTCAACACATTAAGAAGTCAAAATAGTTAATGGTTAGACTTTCTGATACTGCGCTGCTAGTGATTAAAAGAGAGCACGCCTTTTAATTCTTTTTGCTTGACACCAACTCGTGGCAACATGTTTCGTGGAATCTAAGATGTCTTTCGAGGAGTTGGTTGCCCAGTCCAGCGCTGCCTTTGCTGGATTGAAGGGGGGAGTATTTGAATCCTCACGCCTAAGGAATGTGTGGCGTGGACCTTGTGAATGTAGTTAGGAGTTAGATAATGTTGGCGTGGAGTGTGGCTTTAGACGCGAGACTGAATCGCAAAACATGTGGAATGGGCCATATGTGTGTGTCAGTATTGGTATGGAGTGTGACGTTAAGCATGAGGTTTAGCTGGCGGAGCTATGTGAGCCGTTTAAGTGTGTCTTGGGGAACGTCAGTGTTGATATGGAGTGTGGCATTAGACGTGAGGGTTTGCATCGCAAAGCATGTGGTGCGGGTCATTTCAGAGTGGCATGTGAGTGTTGGAGAGGAGTACGACAATAGGCGTGAGAATTTGCCCGGAGAGCGTGTGGCGTGAGCCACGTGACGGTGTGGAGTATGGCAAAAGGCTTGAGGTTACGAGTCTTCACGCCAAAGGATCGTGTGGTGTGTCGGTGTGGAGAAAAATGAGGCGTTGGGAGTGAGGTTTTGAGCAGGGATGTGTGTCGCGGGCCATTTGAGTGTGGCTTCGGACATATCAGTGTTGGTGTGGAGTGTGGCGTTAGGCATGTCGCTTTGAGTGTGGGGCATGTGGCGATAG